GTTTGTTAATGTTCAATGTTCTTAACCAGGTCAGTGTTAGCAGTTTGAACTTCCCTCGCTAATTTTCAGGTTAATATTTGTATTTTTTGCCTCTACTGTGACATGTCTCCAATGTGCTTTCATGTGTATTACATACTCAACAACCTATATAATACACTACAGGAAAGGGAAACATCCAAAAAGAGATTACAGGTCCTCTTTTAAAATTCAATGTCTTGTTTTGTTCAGGGTCGTGTCTCTGCAGTTGGTGGAGATTTCTTCATCGAGGTTTCCCCGGGGACGTACGCTGTCACTGCCTCCATGCCGGAGTCACAGCAGCAGACTCAGATGATCAGTGTCCGAGCCGGAGAGAGCGTCGACCTCACCTTTAACCTCTGACCCCTCTCCTTTAACCTCCAATACTAAAACTGACCAAATGCTCATTCTGTGTGTGTGGCTGTGTGTGTTTATTGCTTGCTTTTACACTGCATTAAGAGTTTACATTTTATATTGCATGAATTCTACAAAATGTTGTAGATGGAGAAGCCATATTTGTATTGCTATTGATTATTTTATTATGTAGTTTGTGTTTCAATATTCTACTTTTAAACATCATGTAAAGCTCTTTCCATATTTTTACTTGCACTTATTCCACATTAGTGTATACAAATAAAGTATTTTTTTAACCAATTTCTTGTTTGTTATCTTTATATACAGCTACATTAGGCGCTTTCACACCAAGTACTTTGTCGTACTTAATCAGAACTTAGTTCACACCTTAAGGCCCTGACACACCAAGCAGTCACCAGAGAACTCGACTGTTGCGTCGGCGAGTTCTCCTGCGTCTTGGCCATGTCTCACACTGGAACACACCGCAAAGACTTCAGCCGAGCACGTACGCACTGCGCATGCGTGAGTGGCAATAACTCTCCTTACCAGCAGGCGGCGGTAGTGTGTATTCGTCATTCAAAAGAGGCAACAAACGGAAGACAGAGAAGAAGAACAGACTACTGATCTAAACAAACAACAAATAGCGTGTGCGTTCCATTTTCACTCTCGTCCATCGAAAACATGTTTCGTGCGGTACTGGAGCTATCAGCCATTGGAGTGTTGCTCGTGGAAGACATTCTCAAGCAACCGTTTCACTTCTCATGCACTGATTCGCTAGCTGAACAGCCAATCAGAGTGATTTCTTTGGCCCGACTGCCCGACCCGACGCATGGCCGATTCAACATGATGCGTCGGCCATGAAAGGCCAAATAAGGCGTGTCACGGCCGACGGTGCGGGACACACCAAATTGAGTTTGGGCGACAGGGCACGCTTCGTCGTCCGACTAACGAAAACGGCCGATTTCGGCATGGTGTGTCAGGGGCTTTAGACGAGTTATTTTTCTTCACGGTCATCTGTATATTTGTTTACTCTCTATTGCTGATTTATTTATATTTATTTTGTGAGACATTTATATTTTAGAATTGTTTATTTTTACGCGTTTAATTTGTTATTATGTATTTGTTGTCACCTGTCCGTGTGTTTTTAGGGGCGTGGTCATAGTAACCAGGTCGTCATGGATACTGCGTACAGGCGGGGCTCCACTCTTGTCTTTAGGCGTCGGGACAAAAGGCAGCGGAGCAGAGACGATTCCACCTGAACCAGAAAGGAAACATGTGTCAATCCACAAAGTAAACAACAACAACAACAACAACAACAACAACCTGCTCTAAGGTCATCAGAGTGAAACAGAGAGACTTCAACTCCTTTTGTAAGCAGCAGATTCTGCGGAGAGCAGAGAGCAAACTGGCCTCAGCAGGTCATGTTCTTGACACAAGCTGCTCATTGCAGGATTAATAAAGTTGTTGTTGATTGGTTGATTGATTGGTTGATTGATTGATTGATTGATTGATTGATAGGTAGAATTGGGAGGGATGAACCCCTCTTGAATGGTGTCACATGCAGAGCACACAGTGACATGTGTTCTCTGCTTTTAACCCATCGTAGCACCAGGAGTCTAGTAGTAGGAGCAGTGGGCAGCTATTGTACAGCGCCCGGGGAGCAATGGGAGTGAGGGGGGAAGGGGGATGTCCGGTGCCTTGCTTAAGGGCACCACGGCAGGGCAGGAGGTGAACTGGGACCTCTCCAAGTAGCAGTCCACACTCCATATTTAGGTCTGTTTGGGGACTTCAACCGGCGACCCTACGGCTCACAGTCCAAGCCCCTACTGACTGAGCCACTGCCGGACAAATTGTGTCCACATTTTTTTCACGAGGGCCACATACAAAAAAACATACGAAGGGCTGGGCTGCTCCCTAGAAGTATACTGCCTCATAAGTTCAGTTATAAGTTGGAAGAATCAATCCAATGTGGGTACATTAGGGGGACCTGAAAGAACTCCATAAACCAGGGGTGTTGTAAACCTGCTCTTTACTTAATTATTCTGATGCTATGAACTATTTATTGTGTAAATGGGAATGATCAACATCCAGGGGTGTATATGTGTGTTTTCTTCCTGTATGTTCCTGCCTGTGTTCGTTGCCCTTTGCGGGATTAATAAAGTTGTTGATTGATTGATTGATTGATTGACAACAAAAACAACAACAACAACCAGCAATAATCTGAGCGGCGGCTTTCCTTCTGACCTCGGGGTGTTCCTGGGCTCTCCATCATGGAGGTGCCCAGGTTGAAAGGTCGCGGCTGGGGGGTGGTGGGAGCGGGAAGGTCTCCCATCAGGAAGCCGGGCAGGAACTGAGCTCCAGGGGTCGGCTTGGGAGAGGTCGGGGAGCCCAGGGTCATCGGTTCAATTCCCACTGAGAGACGGGAAAACACGGTTAACATGTGGAGAACAACAGCAACAACAACAACAAGTCACACAAAACAGACCGCAATACCTGCAATGGGGAATATTGACACTTCTTTAGCAATACTGTGCAATCATCACCTTTAATTATTTTAGCTTATTGTTTATTAATGCATGCATTATTTTACCTAATGTGCCGCTTTTTGCTGTAATACTGTAAATGTCCCGGCTGCAGGACTTATAAAGGATTTCTGATTCAGACGAAATCAAAGCCACATCCATTTGGTGCTTTGTTTTTGTTTGTTAGAGAATGCTGCTTGCTGGCCTTTTAATTTAAGTTATCATTCAAATCAACTTTATTTGACGTGTGTTGTGTTTCCTGTGCATCCTTTTCCCCTTCAACAGCTGGGATGTAAAATCAAACTTCACCTATACAGCACTTTTCATACACAAAGGTTAGTTCTTTACAAACCAAACACATAGACCACTTACAAAAGATAAAACAGTGCTATCTCCTCATGCTTTAAGAATAGTGTACTTGTGGTTATTTCCTCACAAATTTAAGTTAAACCCTATTTGCATTTCATTTTTAAACCAGTTTAGAAAATGTACCATAATCCAGAGTAACACATACTTGAAAGTTGCAGTGGAGTAGAAGTAGCTAACAATGGAAATACTACCTCAAAGTTGAACTGAAGTACAGTACTTGAGTTAATGTACTTAGTTACTTTACACCTCAGATAAATGTGTTGTCAGTCTGTGTTTGTAAGATTTACTTTTACTGTTAGCTAACAACTTAACCTTTTTAAAACCAGAACCAAACATGCTAACCCTGAGCTAACGGACTCTCCTGGCAGGCAGGGGGTTCATAAAGGTATAAATAACATTAGGAAATGACTAAAAAACGGATTAATAACTTGAATTAAACATGTTATTTACCTTGTAACTCCATCTCGATGTTCAAAAAGCAGGAAGTTCCGCCGGTTTAAAAAATGTGGCCGGTTAGCTAACGAAGCTAACAAAGCTAAATAATATAACAATATGACCTCTCAACTTCTTCTTGAATCAAACTAGGACACCAGATAACATATAGAACCGGATTGATTCAGGTCAAGTGGTTTTAAATATCTGATTTATCCGTTTTTAGGTCAGATTCAGAGCTGTTAGAGGGAAATGTGTCTTCACCAAACACTTCCGCCTTGACCCAGCATTCTGCGCTCTGATTGGCTGGAACTCATGTGCTGATGTGCTCTGATTGGACAGTACTCTTTGCAATCAGCGGCAATCTGCTAAGTGTTTTTTACTTTCATGGATTTCATGTCTAATTATTTATTTGTATTGCTTTCCGGCAGGAAAATAATAATAATTAGTATGAATATTATAATAAGTATTTTTTCATTTTTATTATAACTTTACTATTATTATTATTATTATTATTATTATTATTATTAGGGTTTTAGATGTATTTATCCTCTACCGTAATTTTGCCTAAAACTGTACAATTTAAAAAGTGTACTCCGCCTCAACACTCCCTCGTGATTTGATTGGATTAGATGTTATCTGTGAGCAGCACCAGTCAATCACAGCTCAGTAGGGGCGGGGCTAGGTGAAGTGATTTCAAAATAAAAGCGCGACTGGAAAGCCATGATGACAGAACATCTGCAGGACTCTCAGCAAACGAACAGAGATGGGAAGTAGTGGAGTACAAATACTTCGTTACT